ACACTTTTTTCACCCAGTAGATTTCTTTCACGGACTCATGGCATACCGTGTCTGCGGTCCAGCCTTTTCATTTCAAAAGGACCACGATATGTTAAGACTTCATAGACAATGTTTATTTTACCCCTCCTTTCTCTACACATCATGCCTGTAGATTTGTCTCAACTGTGGGAGTAGCTCCAGGCCTACAGGGTTCCCCGTTCCCTCCCAGGCCTACAAGATTCCCCTGTTCCCTCCCAGGCCTACAAGGTTTCCCCGTTCCCTCCCAGGCCTACAAGATTCCCCTGTTCCCTCCCAGGTCTACAAGGTTCCCCCGTTCCCTCCCAGGTATACAAGGTTCCCCATTCCCTCCCAGGGCTACAGGGTTTCCCCATTCCCTCCCAGGGCTACAAGGTTCCCCTGTTCCCTCCCAGGGCTTCAGGGTTTCCCCATTCCCTCCCAGGGCTATAGGGTTTCCCCTGTTCCCTCCCAGGTCTACAAGGTTCCCCCCCCCCCCCATTATCTCCAGAAACATGGCCAGAAGCTCGATGTCCTTCCATGTTCTTCAGGTTCTCCCCGTTATGATTCACGAGACACCAGGCTTTACAGCAGGGAACAAAAGGCAAGACTTAATGACCTAGAAGCGCTGATTAGGTCACAAATGTCCGTTACAAACTTGTTCCCGTTAAATTCTGTGCACATTTGCTTCCTGCTGGACTCACGAAGTCAGAAAATGTGGTACATTTCCTATTTCATTCCACCCTTTCCAACATCTTTTACAGAAATAAAGGAGCTGGGTTCCCATGGTAACACAAGTGTGACAGTTGAGGGTGTCTGGATGTAGGTGAGCTATCTCCCTTCAGATCCAGTGGAGAGAAGAGAAATTAAGTTTTCGTTTTTTTTTTCTTTTCTCCCAGCAACACACGTCTGAAGCCAAGGGAACCCTGCGGTGCCAGTGTTCAGTCCTAGGTCTCCATGGCCAAGCAGGTTTACCCTTCTGAGGTGGAACAGAATTTCCTCTCAGCACGTTTTCTTTTGTCTGTTCCACAAACACATAGATGAAGACTCAAGCTTTTGAAACTGCTGTTGCAATAGGGCTTACATGGACATAGAAGAGAGTGTGATCATGATCAGGGTACTGGGGCGGGGGGTTTGAACTAAGACCTGCTGTTCTGCATGCTAAGCACATGTCCTTCCACAAAGTCCTGTTCTCAGCCCTTTTAAGTCTTAGTGTGTAGTGATATTTTGTTTGCATTTTAACAAATAAAGCTTGCCTGAAGATCAGAGTGCAGAGCTAAGCCACTAGAGACCAGAGAGTGGTGGCTCACACCTTTGATCCCAGGACTCAGGAGACAGAGGCAGAGAGATCTCTGTTAGTTCAAGGCCACCCTGGGCTATGTGAAATTGACCCAATCTATAAGAGAAACAGAGCTCACACAAAGGTCATCCCAGCACTTTGGATCCCATGCCTTTAATCCCAGGACTAGAGAGGTGGAGACAGGAGTGATATGGCTGGGCAGAGAGAGTAATATAAGGTGGGAGGAGACAGGAGTTCACTGTAGTCTGAGGATGCAGTCTGAGGACAGGATCCCCCTATTGGTCTGAGGATTCAGTAGCGGCAGAAGGTCTCTCTAGTGATTGGCTGCACTGCTTCTCTGATCCTTTAGTTGTCATACCCTAAGATGTGACTCTGGGTTTTCATTATTAAGAACAATTAGAATTCATGCTACATTAGTGTATGAATAAGCCCTTATTAAGTCCCCCATCCTGGCCTTGAACTTACCACATGGCCTAGGCAAGCCTTGGGTCTTTGAACTTTTGCTTTCAGACATCCTAGTAACTGGGATTAGAGCTATGCATCTCCATACTCCACCCCGACACCCTTCCTAATATAGCGGCCCACCTTTCAACCAGTGTTCCACACACCATGTCCTCATTCACCCTGTAACAGGTAAGAAAACTGAGGCCCATCAGTATGGGACGCAAATGAACCGCAACTACACCACAGGCTGCATTCTTTACACACAACCAAAACAAACTGCCGGGGAGATCAGCCCGAGAGTGTCTCCTCCCAGCCAGGCTAGGTGATGGGACTAGGCCTCCACTCCAGACTTTGGTCATCTTTACCGTATTTACCTTAATCCACAGCCTCACAACTCTGGAGGGAATCAGGAATCAGAAAGAGATGCTTAAGGTTATCTCCTGGATCCCAAATCCTAATGTAAGTCCATGCCCCACCGAGATCACTGGCCCAGTGTAGACTTTCAGCTCCACCACATTGCACGGTACTGGACGGACAGACTATAGTTACTATAGTTACTTTCTTTCAGTTGCCCACTAGGCTGGATTAAAGAACATCTATGGCAGACAGAGGCACACTTCTGGGCGTGTCCCTGAGGGCTCTTCCACAGACGATTAACCCAGGGCGGGGAAGATGATTGACCTTGACTGCAGTCTCCACCGTCTTACTTGCTGGAACCGGCCTGATTAAAAAGGGAAAGAGCCGTGAGCTCCAGAGCTCCACTCTCGCTTCCAGACCTTCCACTGTGGCCACAGGAAGCCATCCGACTATGGTGAGACTCAATCCCGTGAGCCGTGAGTGAGAACAACCTCTTCCTCTTGAGTTGCTCTGGTCAAGTATTGCTCAGAGCAGTGAGAAAAGCAACCAACACAGGCTGTTCCATCCACAAAGAAAATGTGACGCTTCTTGGCTCTAGTTAATCTCCAATACACCTGGAAATGTTAGCATCCGAACACACACCTTTCCTCAGAAGACCATAGCTGCTACTGAGCTGAAGTAATCCCAAGCGAGCATGTCAGTCTTACAGAAAACTAGGCTTCTAAAATGCAGCCACATCGCTGTCAAAGTCATCAGACACGAAGCACCTGGGCACACTCCCTCAATTTTAGTCATTTTCGTACACGACTAGCTTAAAACCAGGAGACCCTGTCTTCAGTTTCAGCTCCCATAGAACATCGTGATGCTTCGACAGAACTTTTCTTCACTACCTTATTCTCTGGCTAAGGTTGAACTTCTTAAATCTTCATAGTAGACGACTGAGAAGTAATGACCGACCTATTCAGGCAGAAATAATGACTGAACTACATCAGCAGCCCACTGTATTCATGCATTCAAGCCAGTTCAAAAGCTTTGGATGACGGCGTTCTGTACTGAGATAGGTTTGTTTTCTGATTCGTTTTCCCCTCCCAAAAACTATACAATAACCATGTGCCTAACATTTACAATACATTGGGCATTACAAGGAGTCTAGAAATAACTGGTATCTAGGAGGATGTGCAGGCTAATCCAAACGCGGCATTTCACATAACAGATTTGAGCATCTGCAGGCTTTTGGGTTTGGGGGTGTCCTGGAACCAAGCACCATGGATGTGGAGGAAGGAGGGGAGACAGGAGTTTACATTCTCAACTTGACACAACACTTGCTCTAAATTGTTTTAAGTGGTCATTGTAGTTAAACTGGAGCTAGGTAATTCAAGCATACGGAATCCTTTTTAAATGTTCAGAAACAACACGCACTCCTATATTAGAATACATATCGGTACTCTCACAAGTGACAGGAAAGATGGCAAACAAATGCCTGGTTGTTAGAGGAACTCAGACCCATAGCCACTCTACAGTGACCTTGTGGGAAATCGGAGCGGTGGAAAGGTACACCGAGCTCTGACAGAACCAGGAAAATATAGCACTCTCAAGAAATGTGAGGTAGTCGTGGCCAGGGGTCGTCATTTCAAGGACACAATTTAATGTAGATAAATGCAAAAAGTCCAGTTACTGCAGGTTGAAGGGTGTAACCTCTCAGACATCGCGGCTGTGGCTGGAGGGTGTGACGGTGAATCGGGGGCCAGAGGCACACTGTTTGAAAACCGAGGGAGAAACATCTTTTCAGGAGGCACCTACGGTGGACCACAGCATATGATGCACGCTGGACGCCTCATGAGGGACGGGAAAACTTCTCACCCTCAAGACAAAGTCCCCGTCCTCTCGATTCTGCCCACGATCCAGCCCGCATCCTGGGCTACATCCGTGCCCATCTCCAGGCAGAATGCCACGGAGGCGACGTTAAGACACAATCCATCCCCTACGCCTCCAACGCAGCCCGCCGCTTTGCCAGACTCGCCTGCCCTGCCCGCCCCGCCCCCGCAGCCAGCACGGCCTCCATTCCCCGGACTGCCCGGCGACGCACCGGCAGAGTTCTGATTGGCTCGGGCTAGCCTCCGTCATTCCTCCGCTGGCTTGCGATTGGCTACTAGAGCGTGCGCAAGCGCAAACGCCCAGACCCGCCGTGCTCCGGGAAGGGGGCGTTGGCTCCGTCTAGGACTGGGTTCTCTCCCGATTGGCTAGCGAGACAAGACGCCTTTTGATTGGTCAGGAGTGGGAGCCCAGCGCCCAGGAACGTGGCCTGATTGGCCGCGGCGAAGCCAAGCTTCCGCGGAGACGGTCCCTCAGGCTGTAGCCGAGGTGTCCTGAGGTCTCCTGACCGTGACTGGCGGATCCGCGATCCAGGCTTTCCAGGCGCCCCCGGCTGCCTGTCAAAGTGTGGGAGGAGCTAGGCTTAGGGCGAACCCTGAGGAGGCGTGGCTAGAGGAGATGGGTGGGGCTCTGCAACGTCATCGGGAGTCGACAGGTCTGCGCGTGGCCCGGGCGCCGCCGCGGCCGGACACCGGGCTTCGGTTTGCTTCTGTACCTCTGGCGGCGGCCTCTCACGTCGTCGCGTTTAACGGGACAAAGATAAAGCTCTGCCGGCCGCCGGCCCGTCGTGGTGTCCCCAAGCACGGTGTCCCCATGGTCCCTCTCCCGTCACCTTCTGAGCGTGGGAGTCTGACGTCACCCGCCTGGGGGCGGGAACAAGAGCGCGCAGGCGCAGCACGAGGGCCTGCGGGGCTGGGTGTTGCCAGGCGTCTGCGGAACCTGCTTAGTAAAGCGCCTCACGGCTCCGGAGCGCGCGGCCTGTCGCTAGGCGACAGCGGGAGAGGTGGGGCTTGGCCTAGGTCCCGCCCCATCTGGCTGGCCCCGCCCCCGTCAGCGCTGCGGCTCCAGCTCGGGCGCGCGCTCCAGCGCCCGGGAAGCGGCGGTGGCTGGAGCTGGGCGTGGAGGCGCGAGGGGCGGGGCGGAGCGAGCGGCACTGCGGGCCCGCGGCTCGGGCGGCTCCAGCTCGGGCTCGCGCTCCACTCCGTCGCTGCCGGCGCCCTCGGGGCTGTCTCGCCGCCCGGCTCGGCCCGCTCGCTCCCAAGGCCGCGGCTCGCTCAGCTGTCGCCCCGCCGCCGCCGCCGCCGGTGTCCAGGGCGCTGGCGCAGCCGTGAGCCGGCGTGTCCGCCAGGGCGGCGGGGCCGCGGGGTCGGGGCGCGGCGCGCGGGCGCAGGTCTATGTCGCGGGCGGCGGTGGCGGCGGCGGCCGCGCAGGGACGATGCGCGAGTACAAAGTGGTGGTGCTGGGCTCGGGCGGGGTAGGCAAATCCGCCCTGACCGTGCAGTTCGTGACCGGCACCTTCATCGAGAAATACGACCCCACCATCGAGGACTTCTACCGCAAGGAGATCGAGGTGGACTCGTCGCCGTCGGTGCTGGAGATCCTGGACACGGCGGGCACCGAGCAGTTCGCGTCCATGCGGGACCTGTACATCAAGAACGGCCAGGGCTTCATCCTCGTCTACAGCCTGGTCAACCAGCAGAGCTTCCAGGACATCAAGCCCATGCGGGACCAGATCATCCGCGTGAAGCGGTGAGCAGAGCGGGGCGCGCGGGGGCTCGGAGGCTGCGGCGATCCCCGGCCCCGGCCCGCCCGGGCTGCACCACCTCCTCCTGGGGCTCAGCTTTGAGGGCTTTGTTTCACAACTAAAATTGGGCATCCCGTTCAACCCCAGCTCAGCCCCTTTGTCTCTAGGATGTTGGTAGCGCTCGTTCCGTACCCGGGAGAAAACAAAGTTTCAAACTTGCAAGGAGAGGAGGGATGAGTAGGTGGGCGCGAGGGAAAGGGGAGCTAAGTGTAGGCGCGCCTGTGCAGAGCGAGCGAGCGCGCGCTCAAATCCACCCTTAGGAGGTTTGACAGCCAAAACTTGCACACTGGTATTCTGTTACTGTCAATACGAGTTAGGAGGGCCTTTCTCATCGCGGAAAAGAGGAAGTGTTGCCAAGAGGTTGGCAGAAATGAATTAGTGCAGCACTTTAAAGACACATTGTCGAATAATTTGAAGATCTCGCAATATCCAGCAGGTTTGGAATATAGAAGCACGCTTTTGACATTTACATTTACTCGCCCCCCCCCCCATAAAATCTACCCGCTTTCCCTGCTCAAGGAAGGAAGCTATTCTTTGAAACCGAACAGAAGTTTGGTGTAAGCTATGGCTCGTGTATCAGCTAATTTAATGTTAATGATGGCGGGGGGAACTGAGGCAAATAGGCGTTTCCTGATGTAAACTGTTCAAAGAATGCGTTTTGGATGTGGCTGGTGAGACGAATGCTTTCAGTATTTTTGGTTTTGTTTTATTTCTCTCAAGTCGATGCTGTTTATCTTCCCCTTAACTTTCAAGTACTGGAAACCTCACTTGTTATGGCAGAGTTTTGGCAACATTTTCCAGTTCTTCTTAGCTGATAACTTTCTTTTCTGACCCTTTTAGACTGATACTACTGGTACCCTTTCAGGGCCCTTGAGGTTGTAGTTCATCTGATGTCACTGTGGAAAGTAATAGACACAGTTCATTATCAGTTAGGGTGTGCTCATTTCAGAGCCCAGAGCAGGTCGCTCACAAATTCATTACAAAGGACACGCCCCTCTTCATGCCCTCCTAGCCGCTTGAGTGTGCACGTCCATAACCATTCTAAAAGCGTCTACCTTCTTGTGTTAAATTCCAGATTAGAGACCCGCGGACATTTTTATGATTTCTTTCCAAAGCTGGTAACTCTTACAGCCTTAACTTCTCTAGTCTTAGTTTTCTTTAGAAAGTTGTTTTCAACACATATGTGTGCACACATGTGGATACATCAATGCATGTTCTTGAAGTTGTTCCACACATATGTGTGCACACATGTGGTGCATCAGTACATGTTCTTGAAGTTGTTCACAGATACAGCTAATGATCTGAGTACTGCAGCTGTCTGGCCTTCACGCCTCAGTCCATCCTCACACATCTGCGCAGGAGCCTTTAACCCAGGAGCCTCCCGAAACACTGGTGGGATGACCGGCATCAGTTATAATAATGCGCTGATTTGTTGATTGGAGCAGTGGGTCGGTTGACACTCAGGACAGCCTTCTGCTCACCCGGACTCACTGGTCTCAACTTTGTTGTAAGAAGACCATTGTGGAACTGAACTAGAGTTGAGCGGCATTTTCCACTGGGATAGAGAGTCGTGTCATGAGGAGCTCTTGGGACCACTTCTTCCTTCTTCTTGTTCTATTTTTTTTTCTTTTTTTTGCAACAGGGTCTCTCTATGTTGACTTGGCTATCCTGGAATTCGCCATGTAGACCAGTCTGTCCTCGAAGTTACAGAGATCCTCCTGCCTCTGCCCATGGAGTACTGAGACTAAGATGCCCACATTGGGCTCGGGCACCTACTTCTATGTCCTTTCTTCTGTACTTCACCCTAAGTTCAGCATTTACCTCTGGGCCCATGGCATCTTATCAGCTCAAGTCTAAACAGAGAGGGTGAACTGCAGGCTATTTGTATTACACTTCCGTAGATAAGGCATTCTTAAATGGCAGGTAGGAGGGGCCTTACAAGATAGTAAAACATGGTTTTCAAAAAAGTGGGTTTTCTACTCTTGGGGGGGGCAGTTTTAACTAACCAGTTGCTCTAGGAAGCATTCAGTAATCCATGTGCCCCTTTGCTCACTGTGTCATCTGTCTACTTTACATATTACATATAGCAGTTTGGGGCATCACTTAAAGGGCCATGACCAGTCACTGATAAAGAGGATTCTTTGGATCTCTTTGAATCCATATAGCCTCTTCTACACAGGTCTGTCTCTCAGCTTGGCGTCTGCTGGCCTCTCCAACCCCCAGCGTGCGTGCTAGGGCCACACTGTTGGAGAGAAGGTGTGAACCACATGGACAAGTAGAAAATTTGTGGTAGCTGATGTTTAAAATGAGCATAAAGAAGTAGTAATTTAATAGTACATTTCTTTAACCAACTAAATATAAGCTAATGTCATTTCAGTATGCCATTTCATATTAAAAATAATCAGATATTTTACTTTGCTGTGCTGCCTTAGAAAACTGTCAGGACTAACCACTGTTCTGTAATCAGGGGCTGTTCATTTGTTCCCAGCCTTCCAGATCCAAATAATCACACAGAAAGTATGTTAATTACAACACTGCTTGGCCTAGTAGCTCAGGCTTCTTATTAACTAACTCTTACATCTTAAATTCATCAATTTCTATTAATCTATGTATCACCATGAGGCTACCGGTAAGATTCTGGCTACCGGTCAGATTCTGCCATAGGCCAAAACAGCTTTATCCATTAATCAATAAAGGTAACACATACACAGAAGGTCGTTCCACATTACTGTTCAAGTGCATATTAGCCATAGGCTACTATATTGGGCTGCACAGTCTTAGATGCATATGCTTTGGGGAAGTGCTTGCTGATGTTGTAGGCCTGTGTTTCCTTTTCTGTGAAATGGAAAATAGCATGTACCTCTCAGAGTCACTACAATGACATGCTACCACATGTGTGAAGGTGCCCAGGACATGTATGTCTCCACATCACTAGGATAACATACTACCACATGTGTGAAGGTGCTCAGGACATGTATGTCTCCACATCACCAGGGTGACATGCTACCACATGTGTGAAGATGCTCAGGACATGTATGTCTCCACATCACTAGGATGACATACTACCACATGTGTGAAGGTGCTCAGGACATGTATGTCTCCACATCACCAGGGTGACGTGACACCCCGTGTGTGAAGGTGCCCAGTTCGACCCTTAGGACACAGACATTACTAAGAGTTCTTGCTGTCATTCTCTTAGCTTTTGCCGCTCTAACTTCTGTTAGTTTTACCCCTGATTTATCATTGCAGTTTGGAGGAAATAACTCGTATTTGTAATCACAGTTCGAAATAACAGACTGAAGAGCAATGCCGTATGGAGCTCGGCAGCAGAGGAGTGGGGCTTTTCATTTATTGATACTTTCTGGACTGCTTCATTTTAAAAATATTAAAATCTCTTTCAGTGTCATGTATGTGTACACACACGCATACTTGTCTGTGCACTCATATAGAAGCCAGGGTCTGACGTGTCTTATTCATTTGCTCTGTGCCTCATTTCCTGTTACGAAAGTGTTTTTATTACATATGTGTGTGTGGAGGCCACTACTCATTTCTTGTTACAAGAGTGTTTTTGTTATTACATATGTGTGTGTGGAGGTCACCACTACTTGTGCAGCAGCCGCTCCTTTGCCCATGGAGCCATCGTCTTAGTCACCGTTCTGTTGCCGTGAAGACACCATGACCACGGCAACTCGTATAGAAGAAAGCATTTAACTGGAAACTTAACGTTTCCAAGGCTTTCTCCATTGTCATCATAGTGGGGAGTGGCGGCAGGCATGACTCTGGAGAAGTGGCCCAGAGCTGTATCCTCATCCACAGGCAGACAGGCACCTGCACCTGGCGTGGGCTTGTGACTTGCTCGCCCTAACAAGCCACGCCTCGTAATCCTTTCAAATAGTCCCACTGCTGACTAAGCATTCAGATACAGGAGCCTATAGGTTTTTAAAACCACCACAGCCATCTACCTTTTAAAATGACGTCCTTATCTTTATTTTATGTGTATGAGTGTTTACCAACAAATACGTATGTATGCCATGGAGGTCAGAGGCCGCTAGGCCTCCAGGGAACTGTAGTTACGTGTGGTTGTAAGCGGCCATGTTGGTGCTGGGAACCAAACTCGGTTTTTCTGCTGGAGCCTCAGGTGTTCTCCTCTGAGCCCTCTTTCCTGCCCTCTTTCTTGATGTCCAGCTGGATAAACTGGACAGCCAGGGAACCTCCCCCTTCTGCCTTCTGAAATACTAGTTTAAGAGGGTTCTGGGTTCTGAGCTCAGGCTCTAATGCTTAGATGGCAGACGCTTTACCAAGTGAGCCTTCTCTACAGTGACCATGGTCTCCTCATTGTGCGCACACACACACACACACACACACACACATACCCCCACACCCCCCCCACACACACACCACACCCCACACACACACACACAGGGCTTCTTCTCAAACCAAGCGAACCTCTGAAAATTGCCTTCATGTGTAAGTCATTTTACAGCACACATGAGCATTGTTTGCTGCCGGGATGACTTGTAAGCCTTCTCACGGAGCTCTAAGCCCAGGTGGCCAGCACAACAACCAGCGTCCGGGAACAATGAAATACGGTGGAAGAGGAAGCTTCAAAAAGAAGAGCGTTTGGACTCAGTTTCCCCGGGCATTTTGGTGTTTCGAGTTGATTTTGTAAGAGTGTTTCCAGTTAGGCCAGCAAGGAAGATGTCAAATGTCTGGTGGACTGTAAAGAATGGTGGGGGTGTCTTCTGGATGGAAGAAGTGGCGCGGGAGATGCATAGAGTCCTTTCAGAATGCTAAAGAGACTGCACCAACTAAACTAAACGTCCATGGATGTGTTGCGGGAGGTGAGGTTCCGGATGGCAAAACTTAGTGCTGGAAGGTTCATACTGTGGCCTTAAGCCCCTGGTGAAGAGCAGTAACCAGAATATGCAGAAGTAGTAATAGGGGT